AAATGCCTTTTAAAACCATGCCTGAAATATAACTTCAATCATAGACACTTTACTAAGAGTGGTGGCAGTTATATAAAATAAATCCTGACTTTTAAGTCTGCACTTTTAAGAAGGTAATAAAATATCTTCCACAAGACTGAACTCCCTTGGTCATTTTTAATAGAAAAATAGTATTCAAAACAATTGGTCCCTGCTTTTGTCTACCAAGTATAAAGTAATGGCTGTTTTGCTTTCTAAACTTTACTAGGATGATAAGGTCACATTGAAAGTAAATGAATCAATCAAATTCAGTGTTACTGCTTTAACGTTATCCATACTACTTACTCTCTATGATGAATTGTGGACCCTTGCAAAACAATATGTGCTTACCAAGTGAGGTAAAAAAAACTCTGAGCCTTATTCAAAGAGGCTACTAAGTGCTGTGAATTGCTGTGCCTCCAAGAACTAAACAATTTTATCAATCGGCGCTCTAAACAACCGGAGTGGCAATGGATTATTCTGAAGAGAACAAAATGGAACATCAATGTGAGCAAAATGGAAATGATTCTGTAGATGGTGGAAGAGGCCTTTGAAGAAGGTGAAAGGAGCCTCATTCCCATTATGTTATAAACCAGTTTGTTAACCAGTTTGAAGTGGTTTAAATGACCCTTGTTAACCGAATCCCTGAAGCGGTTTGGCGAGTGGGCCCTGCGCTAGACCCATTTAATGTGCATCTTTTTTATGCTCATTTTTTTCCGTGTCTTTTGCATTAAATCGATTCAGCACAAGTGTGAACAGGATGCGGATCTGAATCGATTTAAATTTGTCCTTTAAATTTGCTGGCCAGTTGAAGAGGGTCCATTTTGAATCGATTCAATAGTCAATGTGAATGTCAAGTGGGTTATTTTTTAAAAAAAATTAATTGGGACAAATGTAGGGCTCATTCCCACTTACATTTAACCCGGTTTGCGATTTGCTTTAGCTCCAGGTTGGTGAATAGATTCCAGTCCATGCATCGTTCCCACTATGGAAGCAGGTCTTTTCTTTACTTGCTTCTTTTTTGGCACAACTGACGTTCCCAATAGTTAGTGCCCCTTCAAAATGCCTGTCAATCATCTCATGTCATTGGTGACACAACTGGCAACACATTCAAGAACACACAGGAGTCATGGGTGCCGTGGCCAGAATCCCATCCCTCACTAATTTTGGGGGATATCCACCATTCCACCCCCCTTTCCCAGGACCCATCCTACATTCCAAACTTCTGTCCAGGAGGAATTCCAAAACACCCTCCATTCTGAGCTTGACTAGGAAGTATGTCCTGCAAGGCAGGAGGGCACCACTTCAACTCCCCATGTCCCCGAGATGCCTCAGCCATAGGTATCATATGGAGGACTCTTCCCTGGGTGAGGTGCTGCCCTTCCAGCCTTGGAAGACATGGGGAGTTGAAGTGGTGCCCTCCTAGGCTTGCAGACTTGGAAGACATGCTTCCTAGTCAAGCTCAGAATGGACAGAAGGTTGGAATGTAGGATGGGTCCTGGGAAAGGAGAGGGGGGGGAAATGGCAGATTTCCCCCAAAACTGGTGAGGGATGTAATCCCTCCGCTTCAGTTTGATGCAATTCAGGTCCCTCATTCCCACTTGCTGAACACGCTTTTTCAATCACTTCTTTTCAAAAGAACCACCAAAAAACTAGTGTCAGGAAAGAGCAGTTCTTTTGCATTTGCCTCGCTTCATTGTGATTGAAACCGAGTGCAGTTAGTTCGGAACCGGTTTCAAGTGGGAACAACATACATATAACCCAATCAGCAATTTGTTTTACATCATAGTGGGAACAAGGCTATAGTGTGAACCACGCTCTGCTGTCGAACCGATCCATCAATTCGGATCGCAAACTGATTTATATTTAATTGGGAATGAGGCCAAGGATTACATTTTACAGAAGCTATTTGAAACCAGAAAATGATCAGAAGGTGCCACACTGTGGCGCTATGTAGAAGCAGATTGCAGTTCACCAAAGGGGTGAGTTCAGAAAGAAAAACATAGCTTGCATTAGCAAAAGAAAAAAGTCCAAACCCTGAAGACATGTCTTTTTACATCCTAAAAACCCCTTTGGGCTGCACTTGTAAGCAGCCTGATCCTGAAAGTCTTCATTTTGGCACTTGGGATCTGTGACCACCTCACTTTATTCCTATACTGTGCCTGGATCTGAAAGCTGGAGAGTTCAAGCATTTGGCCAGAGGTGCTGCTGTATATGAAGAATATGAACTTTCTGGCATAATAGAAATAGTTCTGAGTTTGATCAAGAATGCAAGCTGAGCTGTAAGTATCACTTCTGAGGACAAGATCTTGTTCAGATTTTTGGCATGGATTAAGAGATGAAGTATGGGCTACTCTCAGAATTATTAATCAGGAAAGTCACCGCCTCATTTCAGAATTTCACTCTACAGATTCCTGCTTCTATACTGGGCTTGAAATGGAGATGCCAGCACTAGCGCAGACTGCTAACAAGAAAATCACATGAGCTGTGCCACAATTGTTTATCAAAACACTGCCACAAGGAGCCATTGTTAATTTCTATGTAAATGGCAGCTCAGGAAATGTTGCCAGTCCAATTCATTATAATGAAGAAAATGAAGAATTTTCTTCTACATATAGCTGTACTTACCAAGCAACAGCTGGTTTGCAGATTTTGGCAGAAAGAAAGTGAAAAGTATGGAGGAGTGGGGGAGGAGAGCATTCACTTAGGAAATATCTACAGATCCAGAGCATACTGGCTTCTCAACAGATGCTGAACAATATTGAGAGTGCTGAGATGAATATTTCCTTGCACTGTTCGGATAGTAATTGACAACACTTTTGAGCATCTCTTAAATGGAGTTAAAATCCATGAAAGCATAAGCCATATAAATAATAATAATAATAATAATAATAATGCTTATAAGGTGCTAGCTACAACATTCTGCCTGATTGTTCTGTTCTTTTTCTTTGCCATACCAAATTGCGATAGCAGTTTATATGGATACACTGGTTAGAATGAAACTGGTTAATATGGTTGCTGTTCTTACATCCTCATTATCTGATATAGACTGAGCTACGTATGGGGAAGAGGTTCAGATCCGATTGCTGCTAGTGGTGGTATGTGGATCAGCCACTCCCAACCGTAGGCCTCTACCTGTGGATAACAGGGATAATCAGAAGACTAATATTTACTTTTATACATATTAATAGTGAGTTAATATTTACTCTGGGGACTACTGTATGCAGTGTAGCTAGGTAAGTGCTCATCATGCGTGTTGAACACTTGAAAGCACCAAATGCTACTTATAATCTTTAAAAGAAATTCAGGTGCTGTGAGCCAGTGGTTTATATAGGAAAACAGGGTCACTGAGAAATTTAAAAGAAGGTAGCAGCCTGCTTTAAGGAACTCTAGTGTTTCCAGAAGGTAGCAAAAAATATCTTTTGGGGAGAATACAGGGCAAAATTGTCAAAAGAGCTCAGTGAGACATGCAGACTGCCAGAAAT